GGAAGGCCCAGCCAACCGCCCCAGCCACGCTCGCCACCCCCGGCGGCCCGTACCCGCTAGTTCGGCTCTCTCGGTGCCCAGGTGTCTCCTAGAAAAATGGAGGTGCGAATCCTGCCCGATCGATCGCTCCGCGCTCACAACCCCTGCGCACGCGTTCAGGGCGCCGCGCCGAGCGCTGCGCTATCGAACGCCCCCCGTTTGCCAGCCCTTCTCGCCATCTTACTTACTGGCGCGTTCGGGAAGTTTGCGCTCCTCTTCCAGCCTTACCTGCTACGCGAGACCCCCGACGCCGAGAGGCTGCAGTCCCACGAATAAACGTCTAATCCCGGAGGGTACTCCGGGCGCTGGAGTCACCGCGGGACCAGCGGGCCGTTGGCGCCGCCGCTTCCGGGGCCCCGGCGGGGCCAGTGCGCCTGCTCGTCGCCTGCGCCGTAGCCCGTGACGCCAGCGGCGAGTTCGGGGGGAGCCAATCAGAAGACCGGCCTCTGCGGCCCCGGCCAATCAGCGCGCGGAGCGGAGGGTTTAACTCCTATTTAAAATGAGCACTTTGAATCGTAACGGCTGAGCTCTGGGAGGACTGGGCGGCCTGGCGTCCCAGGCGGGAGCTGACGGGTGCGTGGTCCCGGGCGCAGCGCTGTGAGGCGGGCGGAGGCGGGAGAGGGTGTGCGGGGGCAGCTGGCGCGGCCGGAGGGCGGCGGGGACGCGGCGGGACGAGGAGGCCGCTCTCCACCCCCCCCCCCATCCGCTCTTGGATGTCGGGGCGCCCTAGTCCATCAAAGCCCTGCAGGGGAGGCAGGGGTGCTCGTTCGCCGGGACCCTGCGAGGAGAGCAGAAGGGCTTCGCCCCCCGCCCCTGTGGGGGTAGGGAGGCGCGGCGAGCCAGCCGGGCCCCTGCAGGCAGGTTGGGTGTTAGCGAGGGAAGAAGCGCGGCGGGGGCTGCGGATGGGCCGCCCGGGTACCCTCGGGCAGGACGGGCCTGGGCCTGGCTGGGGGCTGGCCGAGCGGTGAGCCCTGACCTCGGGCTCCCTGGGCCAGTGCTTCCCACACCCTCGGCCCTGGCCCACCTCTGTCGGGGTCCTCGGGGGGCCCCTCACACAACTGCCGACCCACCGCACACCTAGTGGGTCAGAGCACCCGGCACAGCCCGGGGCCGGTCAGCCCGGGGCCGGTCAGCGCTCCAGGTGATTCCAGGGGGCCCTGAGTTCTGGTGGTCAGACCCGCGCCACTGGTGGTCAGCGGGTGTTCAATGGAGGAGCCGCTTGTTAGGGTTGGGGTCGGGGCTGCAAGTGTCCACTCGTGATGGGTCTGATGGGGGATGCAGTGGCCTCAGCCTCCCTCCTCGTTTCAGATCAGGCTTTTCAGCAACATACTCATTTCCTTTGCCCTTTCCTTCCTCAGTGGACACCCCCGGGTTAGACTGCAGGGGGGGCAAGGATAGCAAGGACCAGCCCACAGTGCTGCACCTGACAGACTTCCTCTTTAGAGCAGTGCCTGGAATGGAGCTTGTGCAGACTGGCCCGTGGTCAGGTGACTCCTGAATCTGGCTGTATTCGAGTCACCTGCCTTAGTCTTCCTGGTGCTGGCCCAGAATTTCTGACCAGTCTCCCGCCATTCATCCTCCCGAGAAAGCAGTAGAGTAAATGCGAGCAAGCCTGCGCCTTGGGACTATTGGGGAGCGTGGAGGAAACAGCGGAGTGCAGCTGGAGCTGGCACATGCCCTCGTCCTCCCTCAGTGTGTTTCTGCCACCGCGCTGTTCGGTATCAGGGCGCCAGCCTGGCTCTGTCTTTCAGGTGGTTCTCGTTTTCGCTTTGTCTGTGGGTTAATTCAGCCCCAAACTTTGGCCACTCTAAGTAGTGCGCGTGCTCTGTGTTCGGGGAGGCCACAGGGCATAAAGGACAAAGCCCTTGCTCTTTGGGAGCGATCTCGGGAGGTACTGAGCCGGTCAGATGGGCAGTGACCAATCCAAGTAATGTCTCACAGGTATTAAGTGCGTGTTCTGAAGAGAAACAGGTGGTCAGAAGGGACATGGAGCAGAGACCTCAGTGAAAGGCAGCGGCCCGGTCTTTTTAGTGGAGGAGCCGAGTGAGCAGAGGAACCGGGAGCGCAAAGGCCCAGTGGTAGGAGGCTTAGGGGAAACGGCATCCTGCTGTGGCTGGTAGGCTGTGGACAGGAGGAGGTGGGTCAGGGGAGCGCAAGACCCACATTCATGTGACCTCCCAGATCTCTGTGCTGGCAGGCTTTTGCGTGTCTCTGAAGAACCTTGAAGGCTCTGAACCCAGGACTGGTGTCCAGGCTTGTTCCACCCAGTGTTGCCCATGGGCCTTGGAGGAGGAAGCCCAGACGTGGAGCGATGGAGGGAGCCAGTTGCTAGTAAGGGGAGAGGATTGCGGTTTGACCAGGGATCAGAGCAGTGGTTTTGACGACAAGACATGCTCCTGATGAGATGCAGGGTTTGAGAGAGCTGTGCAAAACAGTTACACCCCGGCTCTTTAACAGCACTGCCTGGTGGGGGTGCCATGACTGAGAGACGGGGATGTCCTGAGAACAGTTTTGGGGAGAAGGGGGTAGGCAAGGAGCAGGACTTTAGTTTGGGGCACATTCAACTTGAGATCGCCAGCTGGAGATGTTTCATGGGTAGTGCAGGGGGAAAGTCTGGCCAGAGATAGAAATTTGGGGGGCCGCAGCTGGTGGAGGGGGAAGGATGGTACTAAAAGCTAGGAGAATGGACGAGCTCACCTGTGGTAGTAGGAAAAGTTGGAACTTGAACTCAGGCTCTGGACTTGAACTAGGGGAGACCTGTGGGGGAGACAAAGTTCCTGGCAGGCCCCTTCCCTCTGGACCGCCTATGCTTCTGCCCTGCTGTGAGTAGAGAGGCTGGGGCAGAATGCAGATTGGAGTTAATCTTGGGAAGGCTATGGGGCAGGATGAGAGGCCCTGGGGAGGGCGAAGATGGGGGGGGCGCGGGCGGGGTGGTAAAGGTGAGGCTGACCAGCAGAGGGTGCAAAGCGACAGTGCAGCTAGGGAGGTGGGGATCGCAGCAAGCCGAGTGTGGGGAGCAGTCATGCTGCCATGAAGGTGGGGGCATCGAGTGGGTCAGCGAGGAGCCTGGCCTGCAGAGAAGAGCGGCTCCAGGAAGGGGGAGATGCCCTGCAGCTGCACAGTGGACAAGACTGTCATGGGGTCCGCTGTTGAAAGAGTTTGTGAGAGGAGCCCTTTGTGGGGAAAGTGCGACCTTGCGAGAGGCAGTGGGTGGGGAGGTTGGCTCGTACACCGATGGGGTGATCCTGCCGGAGGAGGCGATGGAGCAGAAGGAGGAGTCGGTGCGGAGGTGAGGGCTAAGTTTGGGGAGCGGGAGCTTGGACTTAGCGGAGAGGCCTGAGGTGAACATTGTCACCTGAGAAGAGTGCTTCATGTGGGCAGAGGAGTGTGAGGCGCCACCTCCCTGTCAGCACGGCCGCCCCTGTAGCAGTGGGTTTGTGGAGCTAATGGGGCCCTTTTGTCTTTTCAGGCGTCATGGACAAATCTAAAGAAAACTGCATCTCAGGACCTGTTAAGGTAATGAATCACTTGCTATGTCGATCACATTCATAAACTCCAGTGGCGATTGGTCTTAGAGCTGCAGCTCTTCTTTCCACCACTCTCTGGACCGCAGCTTCAGATGCCTCTGCCACTGTCCTAGCTGGGAGTCGCTTCTCAGCATCCCACAGCACCTTGGTGACGACCTCATGCTGACTGACTTTGCTTTGCCTTTTCTCACGTAGCCGGTCAGGTATGGTCTCTCCGTGGTGGGGGCCCAGTAGTGTACACAGCAGGCGCCTAACATTTGCCTGTACTTCCTTGCCTCTGGGAGGTGAACTTCATTGCTTGTTGCCATATTTCAGGAGTGGTAAGCACAGGCACGCAGCTGCCCCTTAGTGAACAGCACGTCCTGGGAACCCCTTTGGGCCTGGTTCCGTGCCAGGTGCGGGGTGCGATGATGAAAAGCACCTAACCTTGGGAGAACCTGGACCCTTTTGGGTGGTGTGTGAGTCAGCACCAGGTCTTAATGAGGGGGGCTGTGTGATTCTCAGGAGGGGCGCTCAGTTCTGGTTGGGTGCTCCAGTGTGGTGGATGGAATCCAGGGGGGCTTTACCAAGGAGGAACCCCTGGAGCTGTGGATACTGCTAATTGAGAAGTGGTTGACTTCTCACTTGGACATTGGGATGCTTGTTAAGCCTGTGCCTACTGTGGGCCTGGTGATGGACATGGGGGTTCCCTTTCCTGCACCATTTCTCTGTTAAGGGGGGCTGCATGCTTGGGAGGAAGTGTCTCCCCTCCCCCCCCCCCATCTGACTGACTAGTTCAGGGTCAAACAATTGAGCAATTTAAGCTTGAGATCCTGCTTACATGTATGGAAGTAACATGGTCTGGTAATGACTTTTGAAGAGTTACTTGTTTCCTTGTTGCCAAAGTTCTTTTTGTTCAGGTCCATTTTGTAATTGGAAAGTAGTCATTAGTAATAAACTTCTTGTGCAAAATCTGGCAAATAGAAAAATCCAGACTGTCTTTCAAGACTCTTGCAGTTGAAGGTAGCCTCTGTTGGACATGGGGATGTATCTCATCATCTTTTTCTAAACATGTGTTGTCCAAGTGGAACTGGGATTTTGCTACAAAATTTCTGTCTCACAACTTCTTGTTGCCTAATAATTCCCAAGTCCTTGAGATTTCTTAGAAAGAGTTTCCTGTCTTCCTCTTCAGATGGCAGTGTGGCTAGTGGCCCTTGTATATGGGCGTAATTTCTGGGGGAGCAGGGTCCCTGCTCAGCCACGCGCTGTCTTCTGAAAAGCGCTGACTAAAATCATTTCCCCTTCCATCTGTTACCAGCCACGTCACTTCATTCTGTGAGACAAAAACATGAAATTCTTTAACCAGCTTATGAAGCCCATGAAGTTTCTTTTTTTCCCTCCGATCCTAGACGATGGTTCCGCTCCGTGATGGTGCGAAGCGTGTTCCTGTGCACCAGCACGCGCCCTCCCAGAGCGCACTCCCTGCGAGCAGTGGCCAGGCGCAGCGGGTCCTGTGTCCGTCCAACTCCCAGCGCCTGCCGTCGCAAGCGCAGAAGCTGGTCTCCAGCCACAAAGCAGTTCCGAACCCGAACCTGAAGCAGAAGCAGTTACAGGCGAACAACGCCCCTCGTGCCGCCCCCAGGCCGCTGGCTGGCACCCCGAAGAGTGAGCCCCCACCGTCAGCCCCAGGTAAGGCAGCCCGGCCGCGCGGGGGTCGCCCGGTGGTTTAAAGCACAGGTATCCAAACGTGGTGGTTTGAGGTCTTGGTGTTCACGTTTCTGTTGAGGATGGGGACAGCTGATGTCCGCGCCGAAGGGACCTTGCATCTCGTGGGCCAGGTCTAGGCCGAGAACACAGATCTGGTTTCAGCTCTCACGGAAGAGGGCAACAGGGAGGGCACGGCGCCGTCTGTCCTGTGATTGCTTGGGGGTGGGGAGGGCGGGGTCGCCGTGCCTGTAGCAGCTCCTCGGGGAGCTCAGGTCGCTCAGCATCTGGAACACAAAGGGGAGTGGGTGAGTGGGCGGTGGGCGCGGCCACACTGGGTGCTGCTGGAGGCTGTGGAAGGCTTTTGAGCAGGAGAGGAAGGGTCCGACTTGCCTAGCAGAAAGCTGCATCTCTGGATGCGTGGAGGCAGTGCTGGGCCCTGCTGGGCACCACGTGGTTTGGGGCAAAGGTGGCAGGGGCCTGTGCCGAGTGGGTGCTCACAGGAATTTGTCGGGCGAACGTTGACACAGCTCGCGCCTCGGGAAGCGCTGCCGCCCCGTGCCCTGTGTTCTTGACCACACTGCAGAGGCAGGCAGGGCGGCGAGGAGGAAGCTGAGACTGACCGGTCTGCCGACGTGGCGAGGGAGAAGGTGCAGACGCCTTTGAGCGCTCACGCAGACAGGACCGGCAGTGACTGACCTGGAAGAGGAGTGAGAGGGGTTAGAAACGGCAGTCACGGAGGTGCTCTCAGCTGAGCTGGTGAAGCGGCAGGACGAGCAGCTTGAGCTGGCCTCCAGGCAGCCGGCAGCGCACAGTGCTGCCACGGCCCGGCTGGCCGGTGGCTGAGGCGAGGTTGCCGGGCCCCTGTGCAGCTGGCTTACTGCGAGTCTGCTGCCTTGGCTGTTCTTCTGTTTCTCCTTGGCAACTTCTATACCACAAAATGGCTTATTAGTAACCTATAGACTGTGCCTGTGTAAATGAATGTATAGTAAGTCAGGCGTATGTGTAACCCAAATACAAGTTCCCTCCACCCTCGCAGGTGCAGCTGTGAGTCCTTGAGTGACGTCTCCTCAATGCCACTGGAATTTCTTTGAACAGAAACGATGAGTCTCGAGGGCCAGCTGTAGTAGTCTTCTATACAAAACTTTATTATTATGGTGGCATACTGTTAATATTTTTGTAATACATTCTTCGATTTATCTCTCGACATGTTTTTACTTACAGGAAATAATTCTGAAAAGGAACAGGCATCAAAACAGAAAACCGAAGAATCCAAAAAGTAAGTTTACCTTGTTGCAAAGCTCTGTACTCTGTTCCAGAAAGGGTCATTTTATTGCAGATTTTCTAAAAATGAGGTCACTTAGAAAGCCTTTCTAAGAAGGGGGAGATTTTGTTTAAAGAGAGATGCTTCCTGGGGACTCCAGTTTCTTACTGCTTTCTAAATTTGGAAAAAGCTTTATGAATCTGTCCCAGAAATGTATAAACTAAGCAAAGAGCAGTTGCTGTTGACCTCTGTGCATGTGACTGTGCAAGTACTTTGACAGTGAGTAGTTCTGATCTGTTAGAAAGCCAAACTGTAGTCTCTCCCAGACAGCCAGTCACCTGCTGTCAGCCTGAAGGAGGCGGGCCAGGGTTGACCTGAGACTTGCTTTGCTTTTGCTGCCTACTGGAGTCACTCACTGCCCCGGGGGCCTCGTCCCTCTCTAGGGGTTCTCCACCCCAGAGAGTGCAGGTCTGTAGGTGGAGCGGGTGCTGAGTGTGGGCCTGTTTGGGAGCATTCTCTCCTGTCCAGTTCCCTCAGCCTTTTTGGGGTCTCGAGTGGCCTGAGTAGGCCTAGAGCTGCCTTGGGGCAGTTCCTGTGAGTGCTGGGTTCCAAACGTCCAGAGTGATGCTTGTCACTTCTGTGGTAACAGCAGTAGAGGAGGTTAAGGTTTATGGCCACTCATTGTTGACTTAGCCCATGACGAGGGCAGCTGCAGGGGACAGCTGTGGGTGCCAGAGCCCTACAGGGTATAGCTGCTGTGGAGTGCGGGTGTAGAGGTTGGTTTTCACATTTTAAAAACATTCAGATTCTTTTCTTCCTCACACCAAATTCTTTCTTAGAAGACAGTGGGCCTTGGAAGACTTTGAAATTGGCCGCCCACTGGGTAAAGGAAAGTTTGGCAATGTTTATTTGGCAAGAGAAAAACAAAGCAAGTTTATCCTGGCTCTTAAAGTGCTGTTTAAAGCTCAGCTGGAGAAGGCAGGGGTTGAGCACCAGCTGAGAAGAGAAGTGGAGATACAGTCCCACCTTCGGTAAGCGCTCAGGTGGACGGTCCAGGGTGGTGTGCGGAAGTCAGCGTTCTTAACGGTTGTCAGCTCTTCAGAAGGCCTGCTGTATGGTGCTGCAAGGAGACTAAACGGGCCATTTTCCAAAAAGATTCTAGATTGAAGTGCTGTGGTCCAAAGAAAACATCTCTGTTTGAAACAGTGTTCTATAGTAATTTATGTGAGCAGTGGGGTGGGGGGGTGCGGGTGGGTGGGGCCTCTTGCTCCGACTGCTGAGTGCTGGCAGCCTGCAGGCTGGCTCGAGCAGTGGCTGGGTTTTCTTTTTTAAGAAACCCCCTTTAGTATTTTTTCCAGATTTGAACCGGCTAATACGCTGACCTGACACTAACCCTGCAGCCAGTGCACTAACCCACTAATATTTCAAAACGTGTGCAATCAGATGTATTGGTTTGTCTTGGGGAATTCCTTCAGATTCCCGAGGGGTGGGGGCCATGGCCATTTCCCTGTGGTTTCGCAGGAGGGCTTGATAGGGCCTCAGCACGCATCTGGCCGCGGCCCCCAAGTCAGGCGCCACTCTCCGTGCTTTGTTGCAGGCACCCGAACATTCTCCGGCTCTACGGATACTTCCATGACGCTACCAGAGTGTACCTAATTCTAGAATATGCACCTCTTGGAGCCGTGTACAGAGAGCTTCAGAAACTGTCCAAGTTTGATGAGCAGAGAACTGCCACTGTGAGTTTGTTTTCGTTAATTCCGCTTCCCGTGCTGTGCTGGTGGGGCCAGGTGTGAGTGGGAAGAGCCGGGGTCCCTTCGCCGTCCCTCGTGGACAGCTGGCTCAGCTCGAGCTGCCTTCCACAGCCACTTTTCTGTAAGACTGTACAGAAATAGTTGCTTTCTCTTTTGAAATTATCTAAGAATAGCTTTAGACTTAAGGTAATTTTGGTGACGGTGCAGAACACTTGCTTTTATTAAGTTGCTGTTTATGTTCAGGATTATTTCCCCCAAGATATTCTTTGTTCCCCCCTCGCCCCCGCTCAATTGTTACACTGGTTTGCAGCCCTGCATGGGTTTCAGGTTTAGCGTCTCACCTGAGCAGCTGCCCAGGTCATGGCACAGCCACCACTGCTGTCCGTCACCATGCCGCCGCCTCCGCCTCTGGTCACCGCCACTGGGCTGCCGAGTCTAAGCGAGCGTGGTCACGGCTTTGCGTCCTTCACCTTGTCCAGATCAGCGACACCGTGCGCTGTCTGCCTTGTCCCCAGGTGTCCATCTTGCCGGTGGCTGAGCCGCACCCCGAGGGCCACGCCTTCACCTGCCCGCGGTGGGTGCTGGGCTGCTGCCCACGGCAGCCCTGGTGACAGTGCAGCAGGGAGCACATGGCCCGGGGGGTTCATGCTCCTCGGCAGATGCACAGGGGTGGTGTCTGGGTCATGTAGGCGCTGTCTTCATTTCTTGAGGGAATCCCATGTTGGTGTAGCCTGCACCAGTTCACCTTCCCGCCGCAGCTTGAGCCCCCCTTCTCCGCATACTTGCCAATGTGCATGATTCTCCACTTCCTCCATTACAGCCATTCTGACCTGCGCGAGGTCAGACTCCCTGTGGCTGATCTGCATGTCCCCAAGACAGTGACAGGGAGCCTCTTTTCCCACCTCGTGGCCCTGTACGTCTGCGGGGAACCCTGACTTAGACCCTGCGTCCGTTCCCGAACGGCGGCGTGGTGACAGGCTCACGCACGTGTGGCTTGCAGAGGCTCCTCCCGTTCAGCAGGCTGCTTTGGCGATGGGTTTTTGTTTTGTTTTTGAAGCTGCTCTTAGGTGTTAAATCTGTATTGGTTTCCTACCAAAAAAGTTTGTCTAAAATTGGTTAAAATAAATCTAAGGCACACTTTTAAAACTTTTTTTGAAATAGTATATCACAGAGCTGGCAGATGCCTTGTCTTACTGTCACTCGAAGAGAGTCATTCACAGAGACATTAAGCCTGAGAACCTGCTCCTCGGGTCCGCGGGAGAACTGAAGATTGCAGACTTTGGGTGGTCTGTTCACGCCCCGTCCTCCAGGTATGTGGCGACAGCAGTGGGGTTCGTTCGCTTTCGCGAAAACACCAGCGTCTAAGCATGAGCAAAACTAACACGCGTAAGCATGGTGGTTGTGCTGAGCTGGGGCGGGCAACTGGCAACCATACTTTGGAGTGATTTGGGCTTGGTGGTAACTGAGCATCTTGAAGAGCGTTTTGTTTAGGCTGTTTTCCGAGTCGTAGGCCTGGGGATCGAGGGGCTTAGTGGCCTTGGTCGCTGTAATGGGAGGCGCTGACATGGTGGGTGTGACTACGTCCCCCCGGACCTGAGGCCACCTCTCGGGGCAGCGGTGTCGAAGGAGAGCCAGAGCCAAGAGAACAGGGCTGCAGACATCAGCTGGTGGCCTGGGACACTCGGGGTGGGGTCAGGAGTCTCTGGTCAGCTTTTGTCACGAGAACATGTTCTTGCTTGCCCGCCCTCTCTTAAAGTGGGGATATCGATTGAAATAACTTAATTATTCCGTGAACTTTGCAAATAAAAGCTCAAATACTTGTTTAATTGGAGTTTGAATTAGCTTTTGAAACCTGGTATGAGGGAGGTCATTCTAAAAGTAGACATTTACCAGTAAGCATTTGTCAGCTTGGGGATAGAACTTGAAAAAAAAAAAAAAAGGGTTTAAAAAATATGTATTCTAGGACCCTCCCTGGCCGCGCAGGGGTTAAAGACACAGCTGTCCAGCTGTAGCCAGCCATTGCAGCACTGAGCTCAGTCCCTGGCTGGCCAGGGAGCTAACCTAACCTGCACGGCACAGACCTCCATCTCACCCACTGCTCCCCTCAGCCGTTTATTTCAGTGGATCTACCTGTTCTACACCCCAGCTCTGTCTTTGCTAAATCCTCTTGCCTCTCCTGCACCTCTGGCCTATACCCCAGTTCTTGTATGCATAAATAAATCTTAAAACAAAAAAATGTACTGTAGGCTTAAGCAAATGACATGTAGTGGGGTGGTCTTGTTAGAGACCACTTCTGATGGTCTCAGGGACACTGAATCTGTGATTGAAGTTTTCTTTAAAAGCCAGGAGCTATTGGCACCTGGTGAGATGAACAGCAGTGAAGCTTTATGGGCTTTAGGGACACAAGGGCTGACCTGGCTGTGGCCTGTCCCTTGAGTCGTCCTGATAGGAACGAGCTGAGCTGCTGCTTGGTGAGGGGGACCTTCAAGTAAAAGCCGCGGTCATCGGCTCTGCCAGATGTTAATGATCAAAGATCTCCCAGGGTCCCTTGGGCGGGTCTTTGAGGACTCTGACCCTCGTGGTGATGTGGGTGGCACATCTGGAGAGGTCACTGGTCATTTGAGCATTTGTGTTCTTGGTGGGCACCAGGCCTGGGGACCCCACACCGGCCCTGACCCAGCAGAAACGCAGCACAGACCTATGTGCTTCTTGCTCCCGGTTGGTGTTTGCTCCTGTGCAGCCTCAAGTGCGCACACTGAGCCCGCCCAGTGCTGCCACCGGGCCATGGCCGCTTTCTTGGTGGGTCTGCAAAAATGACTTCGGGCACCACGATGCGTCTGAGGAAATGAACGGTCTTGTTAATGCCTAATGCGTAGTCCACGCTCACACTTCCCTACTGTCTGCAAACAGCTGTGCTTTTAAAGCTCCATGCAGCCAAGGTCCATCATTATAGTGTGTCTTTTTAATTTAAATTTCTAATTTCAAATGAATCCTTCCATGATAAATTGATCCTGGTTTTAAAAATGGGCATTGACTGCAGAGTAAAGGGCTTGAAAATAAAAAAGTTCACATGCGTGATTCTCTGCTGTGTCCAGTTTTCTAATTGTCTCTGCGACGTCCTTGCTGCTGGGCCCTACCTGCCAGCAGGATGTGGCTACGGGTCGCCAGTGTTTCTCCTGCCTTTCAGCAGCCCATCTGCTCTGTCATTCTCAACTCCGGAACTCAAAGTTGTGGGTATTTTTAACCGTGTACTTACTTAGCCAGACCCTCATCTTGTGTTTGCTGAAAACGGACATTAGATCAGAGGCCTGAAGAATATTTTTGGCAAGAACAGTTCATGGGCTTCCCCCCAAATTTCAGTTTCTCTTTTCTACCTGCGATGTATCGGGAGTTTGTGTGTGTGTGTACCCCAGACCTGGTGCTCTGCCAGCCGCTTGACTCGTATGCTGCTCAGCCAGCGGGTGCGAGCCGGGTCAGTCCAGCGTGTGCTGACAGCGCTTTGCATGGCTGCTTCGAATATGTCCGCCTTGGCTCTGGATTTGGCACGTTTGGGGTGCGGTGCGGGGCTGTCTGGTGCTGCACATCTCTGTCAGTCTGTGTCTTGTTGTCGAGGGGGGGTTTGGGAGAACTTCACGGTGTGGGACCTGGCCTAGGAGAGGCTCTCAGTCGATGTCAGCACAGTGGCTCCTGACTGAGCCGCTGTTGTAATAGTAAAGCAGAAGCATGTCAACCTGCCTCCCCGTTTCCAGGAGAACCACCCTCTGCGGCACGCTGGACTACCTGCCCCCGGAGATGATCGAGGGCCGAATGCACGATGAGAAGGTGGACCTCTGGAGCCTTGGGGTTCTTTGCTATGAATTTTTAGTTGGGAAGCCTCCTTTTGAGGCGAGCACATACCAGGAGACCTACAAAAGAATATCGCGGGTAAGACATAGCTGGAAAGGACTCAGATCTCCAGTTAGAATTCTTATCAGCCGTAACTTAGGCCATCACCTCAGTACTGCCGCTTTTCTCTCTAAGCCATGTTTGTGACTGTCACTTACTGTACTCCAGGTTGAATTTACGTTCCCTGACTTTGTACCAGAAGGAGCCAGGGACTTCATCTCGAGACTATTGAAGCACAACCCCAGCCAAAGGCCAACTCTGAAAGAAGTACTGGAACACCCGTGGATCACAGCAAACTCATCCAAGCCACCAAGTAGCCAGAAAAACAAAGAATCGACTAGCAAACAGTCGTAAGACCACAGGGCGAAACCGGACTCGGGGCTGCTGTGCGAGCCGCCAGGGACAGGCTCTGACCTTTATCTTGTGCCGACGCCTGCTCCAGGAATCTAGGGCGCTCCAGGAATCACTTTTCTCTTACTGAGCAGGCAGTACTTTGCCCTCCCGCTCAGCAACTCCATGGCAACCAACAGCACACTGCAGGGAAGCCTTCATGAGAATGCGTGAACGTCCTGGTTTCCAGTGCGAGGCGGCCACCCACAGCCTGTCCCGCGACCTTGCAGAAGAGTGCCAGGCCTGACGGGGCGAGTGGCTGCTGAGCCCGCAGGTCAGTTGAGAGCTGTGCAATACCTCCTGAGTACCCAAGGGTGTATGTAACTTATTGGGGGGGCACGCGTGGTCTAGCTGTCGGAATGAATATGGGATTCTTCCTTTTAAATGTTAAAATAAAGAGTTTTGTGCAGCCTTGTGTTGTGAGTGCCATGGCAGCTCTTAGGGACGCTGTCTGCCCGCTGTTCCCGGTGGCCACAGCCTCTTCTGTCGGACTAAACTGGCACGTGTCCCCTATCCGGGACTTGTGGGGCAGATGCTTCTCGTGTCTCACAGCTGTCTGGAAGTGCTAAGGGTTGCTTTCTTCACTGCAGAGGCACCACTGTGTGCACACATGCCCAGATGCATTTCTAGAGCACGTGGGGACCCTCTCCCCACCCCACAGCCCTGCAGAGCTGGTCTGCCTGTGGCTGGTCCCTCGTTCTGTGTTCCTAGCTGCTAGGTCATGTGTTCCTCAAAAGGTGGGGCAGGCTTGATGGTGGTGAAGCACAGGGTCGCTGTGCGTGCTGGATGCAGAACTAGGGACGTACGCTTTGCTTTGCGCTGACTTCCAGCGCTGGGCACCAGTACATGCACGTCTCAGCAGAGCAGCTACAGCAGTGCCGAAACTGCGGCCTGAATGACAGCGTGCAGTTACTGCCCCGGAGACAGGCCGCTCTTGCCCTCACAGTCTGGAGCAGAACCAAAGTGTGTGCCCCGGCGCCCTCGTCCGCGCGGCAGGGCAGGCTTTGCCTGGGCCTCTAGGGGATGTCTGTTACTTGCCCAAGCTCTCCCACATGAGCAAGTAATAAAACTGCATCAGCAAGCTGGGCGCATGCAGCTCTGGGCGCTCGTTGGCTCTGCTCAACGTGAGGGCTTTCCGGAAGAAAGAAAAGTTCTCCATGGACTTGACCAACGATGTTTTATAGATTTAAACTGCTTGTTTTGATCAGATCAAAGCATTATACAGATAAACACTTATACTTTTAAAATAGACAGCTTTATTCCCTTAGGCCCATAAAAACAATGCAAATACAAGGAATTCGGATGTCTTGCTGGTGAGTTCACATAACACATAGTCCCTAGTCACTGACCTCCCCTCCAGAAGGAGCCACAGCGCAGACTGGGCTTGGGGGCCTGACGGCCGCTTGAGCTGCGTGGCCTTTCCGACCACTGCCATCTCTCCACACAATTCCAGTTTTAAACTGGGAAAAGAGCTCACTTGGCTCTTCAGCATAGGCCTTACTGGGCTCTGCAGCCAGGAGGCCAGCCGCTGAGTGCAGGTGTGGTGGACCACTGCTCCCGTGCTGGCCAGGCGACCTGCGCAGCCGCAGGCATTCTGGGCATGTAGGTCAGAACAGGCACTGGGCCAAGTGCTGGAAAAGGAAAAGTGCAGATCTCCGGGAAAGGCCTTGGGAGCAGAGACCATCTACAGGGCTGACAAGTGACCTGGGTGAGTCCATGTGGCTACGGCTACCCCGTGTTGGGAGGCAGCGTTCGGGCTTGCAGTTCTCTCCATTTTCATAAAGAAAACCAGCCAGAAGGATAAGTACAGCTCCTTCCCCCGTGGAGGTAGGCAGGACTGGCTTCCTGGGGGCTCCGGAGGGCGCGTCCATGGTGCTGGATCCCACAAAAGGGCTCCTTCTCAAGCGCCTGCTCTGTGTTTGAATTTCTAAAGTAACACCCCTGACAGAGTGAGGGGGCCTCAGAATACCCACCTTGCCCACCCCCAGGCTTCTCTGCTGCAGCCTGGCTGCCTGTGTACAGCAAGTGAGACTGGCCTTTTCAGAGAGCCGTACACCGCCTTTAGCTTGACAAATATACTGGAAGCAACCCAATGTAAGCACGAGGCGGCCACTCTGGAATGGCAGGTTTGCAGGGGGCTAAGCACGTGCCCTGCACACGCCTCCCGGGCAGGGACTGGCACCCGCTCGCACTGGATAGAGCTCCAAGTTTACCTCAGCAGAGCCACCTGAGTTAGACCCCACTGGCCAGCCTGGAAGGGGATTTGGGAGTCACTGAAACTGTTTCCCCAAGCGAGTGTGAAGACGGTCCAAGCGCGGACACCGAGTTAGTTCCTGGCTACGTACTGAGGTGGCGCCTCCAGCCATGGCGCCTGTCAGCACTGGAGGAAAGGGAGCGCTGAAACCAAGCTTAATGAATCGCTGCCTTTTAAGAAACTGGGCAAAGATGAAGTCCTGGGGCTTCTGCAGACACACCCTTGCCAAAGACCTTCCAGAGGAGCACTTCAGGGTGTGCAGGGTGGCCGGAGACAGCTCATTGTGCGGGCTCTGCTGACCTTGAGCACCGCGGGGAGCACTCACGCCGCTTCTCCAGGACATTACACCTGGTCAAAAACCTGAGACCCGCCCATGAGATAACAGTTACCCTCCTGCCCCCCAAGCCCTACAACTCCTAAGACCAATCTAAAAATACCTAATTAAAAAGAAATAGGTTTTCAGGTCTACAGTTGAAAAGTCCGTCAAGGCTTTGCAGCTGGAGGCTTAAAAAACCCCACTTTGCGGAAATATCTGACGATCAAGGGCACAGACACCAAGGTGATGCTGATCCTCACCGGCGCGAAGAGCTTGTGGATGGCGTAGGCCACCACGAAGGTGCTCGAGCCCGCCGCCATCTTCGACTGCACCAGCGACTCTCTGAACCCCAGTTTAAGCAGAATTGCAGACATGTCCACGCCACTGTGGGGGTGGGGGGGGCACAAGCGAGACAAAACAACCCGGTTATCACAGCGAGGATTAAGTTTGGGACGTGACTTGGCTGTAAGTTTGCAGTAAGTTAAAATGATGAAAGCAGCTAAATTCTTAGGGGAAAGCTGCCCGCAGCTCACCTTGACACCACCGTGTAAAAGATGCCCAAGGACACGAGCGAGACCCCGATGTGAAACGACACGCCGACCGCGCCGTACTCCTGGAAGACCTTCCTCAGCTGCTGCGTCTTGCTCGGCTGCTGCTCTGCGCTGCTGGCGCGGGGGCCTGTGGCCGCTGTGCCTCGGCCGGGGTCCTGCGCCTAAGCCACAGGAGGGGGACACTTTAGGCAGGGACGAGGGTGTCCGTGGTCCCCACAGCTTTCATCCTCACAGGGCCTGCTCTCTGCCTACCCGGGGACTCCCTACCCGCTTTCTCACTCGGAGCTCAGGCTGCTGCCCACTGAGCCACTGTGTGCAGGACAGGCCGGGCCCCAGTTCGGCTGACAGCCGCCTCGTGTCCAGCTGACTCCAGGGCCTGTGACTACATTACATGGCCAAGGGCGTCTGAGACGGGAGCCCCTTCTAGGTCATCCAAGTGGCCAGTGTGATCACACAGACCCTTACTCAGGCCCCCGCAGGGGGGTGGGGGCACGGGCGGGCGGGAGATGTGGAGAAGCAGCGTAGGGCTGACGCTGCTGGCTTTGCAGCGAGCAGCGGCCTCTGGCTCCAGGCATGAAATGGGCTTTGCCCTTGGGGCCTCCAGCCGGCCTGGCTGATTGGCTGCCTTGCAGACCCATTTGGACTTGGCCTCTAGAACCGAACCATCGGAGAGTGTGTGGGCTGTTCCAAAATTCCAGTTTCTTGGCCTCTTGTGGCAGGTAGAGGCCCGCTCGCTGGGGCAAGGACACTTGACCTCACCCCTGGGCCGGCAGGGCTCAGCTGCTGCTCCCAGCCGCCGCCTACAGCACCCCACAGCACCCCGGCACTCTTCCTCTACAGGAAGTGGAGAGGCCCCGGGAGTGGCTCAAGGTTGCCTGGGCCAGGCCAGGCTGGCCGAGTCGGCGGCCTGAGCACATGGCTGCCACAGGACACTACAAACGCAGACGGTGGTGCGGCAGACGGGGCTGAACTATGTGAACGTTCAGAAACAAGATCTGCCCCGAGTGGGAGCAGGTCAGGCGGGGGCTCGGAGCACTGAGCACCTGCAGGGAGAAAGGAAACAGCCACCAGCAGCGGATTCAGACACCCAAGTTCAAAATTCCTTCTCGGCATGAAAAGTGCTTTTCTCGGGCAAGGATTCCCGACTCCAGGGACGTCCCCGGTGAGCCCTCCCTCGTGGGCACATCTGGGCCGCAGCTCCAGTCTCAGGCCTTTGCCGCAGGCCCCTCTCCTGTGTATCTTTAGAGCCTCGTGGGCCACACAGCACAGTACCCAGGAGCCCCTGGCGCCTGGCCTCCCGGCCTGTCCATGAGGGGCTGCTCACCACCGCAGGGGACCCCGGGGACAGGGTCGAGAACAGAACCCGCGGGCTGCTCAGGCCCTCGGTTTCCTCTCCGGGTCACTGCGTGTCCCAGTAGGGAGGACACTGGAAGTGGGAAGGGGCGCAACCCCAGCGAGACCTCAGCCTGTATGTCTGGCCGAAAGTCTTGTCAACATGCTGGCCAGAGAGAGCCTGTAGGTGAGGCGACTGCAGCGCTCCCTGGAAGCCGGAGGGGCCTTGCCACACACCCCTGGCCCAGACGCCCCACCCCCTGGAATGTGGCCTCCCACTCCAGCCACAGTGCTGCGTGCTGTCCCGCCAGGGTGTCTGTGGGAGCTGCGCCCTCACTGCGGCCTCCAGCGTTACTTGTGCCACTGCAGGAGAAGCTTCCCAACTGCCCTCACTGAAGCCGGGCCCCTCGCGCCCTCTCTGCCCTCCATCACCGCCGGCCACTTCGTTTACCCCACATCGTCTGTGAGCAAGGCTATGGGCCGCCTAAGAAGTCAGGCTCCGAAACCAGCTGCTATGTGGGGTGCTTCCCACTCCCTGGGCGGGTCCACCTTGGGCACCCACCAAGAGGCCTTGTCCCTTTGTAGTTTACCAACCACAGGGTTCAGGCAGACAGCTGAATGTTTACGTGGACTTAAGTCTCAGCCATGGCTAATTCTGGAACATTTTCATCACCCAGTTAGCAGCTCTCTGCATCCCCTAGGCACCCCCCTTCTGTCTCTGAGATCTGCCCCTTCTGGACATTATCAGGTACACAGGACTGCACGTTCCGTGGTCACTTGTGACTGCTGTAGACTAAATGCATGTGACCCTCAAAATTCCTTGGCTGAAACCTGATCCCTAATGTATTTGAGATGGGAGGTAGATATGGTAAGGGGGAGCCCCCAGGAATGGGGTGAGTGCTTTCTTTCCTGGCCCCTCCAGCCAGTGAGGACCCCCAAGAAGTCAGACCAGGAAGCAGACCTCGCGGGGCATTCAGCCTGTCAGCACCTTGACCTTGGACTTCAGCCCCCGCACTGAGAATTCGAGGCGTTGCTACGCCCCGTCTGTGGCGTTTCTACGCCACGTCTGTGGCGTTTCTGTTACAGCAGCTGGAATGGACTCAGCTTCTTTCACTAACACCATGTCTTTGAGGTCACTGGCCCCACAGCTGGCAGAAGCTGCTCCCTTCTATGAAGCGGGATCTGATTCAGCTGTGATACAAAGCACAAGCTCCAGGCCGCACCGTGAGGCCGCACCGTGAGGCCGCACCGTGAGGCGACACCGCGAGGCGACAACGCGAGGCGACAACGCGAGGCGGGGCGGCTCGGCGCCTCGTCCTGCCCGGGCAGGGCAGAACCCAGAGGGGCTGAGGCTCAGAAAGGCGCCCGAGCACCTGAGCGTGCGTGGGGCATCTCCATCCTGGAGGAAAACCTGCAGAATCATACAGGGCAGCTACTCACTGCCCTCCTCCCGCAAAAGTCTGCTCAAAAATTCAGTTCACTTGTTAAAAGAATCTTTTCTTCTCCTCCCACCTGGGAGCATCTCTTTTGTCCCTAAACCGTAGTTGCGGCAGAAAAAGAGGAAAACAAAACCCCGGAACCTTTGCTCCTGGAATTTATCTCTGCTGTGATATGTCCCTCAGTGCTGTGACCAGCATGTCATTTCCCTCGAAGCTGGAAGACAAGTGTTAAACAAGGGGAGGGCTGCTGCGGCCCCAGGGGCGGGTCTGGCAGGCAGTGGCGGGGTTTGAGGAAAACTTCCGTGGCCTGCGGGTTCTGGCCACGAGGCTGCAAGCCCCCACTTCAGGGCCGAACAGCCCAAAGCAGGCCCCATTGCCAGAAGACCCCGGCTCCAGAGGGGAGGAGGAGAACCGTGCTGGGGTCCTTCGGGCTGGTCAGCACAGCGACCCCCTGTCCTCAGCCCTTGACTGTCTCTGCCACCCCAGCAGGAGGGCTGCCAGGGCTGGGGTTCTGATAAGGACGAGCCCGCCCACCTTCTGCCCTTGGGAGGCTCCAGGTGGCCAGTGCTGATACTTGGCTGCCCACGGCGCAGAGCCAGCGACCTCTGGGACCCGAAAGCCCTCCCCCTCAGGCCCGACACCCAGCCCAAGGAAACCCATGCACCAGGCCAGTGCAGCAGGCTCTGTGAGGGCCTTTGTCTTTCTTAGAACCTCTATTGTGCCAAAAGGCCTTTTGGCCAAACACGAGGGGTGGGGTGGGGGTGGGGGAACAGCCAGAAAGAGACAGGACCTGCAACACCCTGGGCTCCTGGAGAGCAAGTCACTTGTCTGTGGCCTCCCGCGGGTGGCTGGTGTCGGCAGGCAGGGCGGTTTGTGTAGGCGTGGCCGGGAGAGGACCTGAGTCATGTTCAGTGAAAGGGCAGCCTCTCCTGTGGCTTGCTTTACTGGTTGTCCTGCTTAGAGCAGAGACTCCTGGCGGGAGGCAGAAGTGGGCACTTAATTAACCTGGAAAACTGGGACCTTTGGACACGCCTCCCAATGACCACAGTGACAAGCCCCGGGGAGCCAGGAAGAGGAGGGGGGCAAAGCACAGGTGTCCCCCAGCTCCCAGGCCCCCTGGGGAGTGTTTCAGGGAGAGGAGTATTGCTTGTCCTCACTTCCTGTTAGGTTCTGATCCCACTCGGACTGGCCCACCCACCCGAGAAGCCCAGGCTGCTGGGCCCTGGTTTCGTACGTTACCGCGCTAGCAATGCTACTAACATGGACTCAGAACCCGCCGGGTAGGAACAGGACCCGTCTTACTCACAGTGTGAAAGGTGAATTGCTGACCCCCGCCCTTGGTACAGATGAGGAGACAGAGACGCGGGGGACTGATGAAGGCCACGGCTAGCGGTGCGTACAGGGAGTCTGAGGCACACACACCCGCCTGGCCAGGCCTGGGTGGGGTGGAGGCTGGCGTGGCCGATAGGACAGTCAGGGAGGCCAAGAGGTCACTTCAGATGGGGATCGCAGGGCATAGCACCACCCAGGGCATCCCTGGTGGTCAGGGAAGGCTTCCTGGGGGTGGGGACAGCGGCACTGAGCTAGAAGAATCGCCAGGGAGCAGCAGTGTTTGGAGGTGTCTTGCTGGTGAGGGGCCCCAAACTGAGCTCAGGGCTTGGAGACAAGAGCCTGTCAGGTGGTTCAGGAAGCCGGCTCCAGGGGTCCCGTGCTCAGGCACTTGTTCCTGGAACCTTGTTGGGAGGTGCTGTTTTAGCCCCTTGAAAGCGCAACACACAGGCTCAGGGCCTTCAGCGCTTGGGGTGAGCCCAGGCTGGCAGGGTACCCAGGCAGGAGGCACTCTAGGGTGCAGAGCTGGGGTCTGCCCCACAGCAGCGGGGTTCTGCCTGTCTGGCTAACTGTCAGCTACAGACTTTTCGTGAAAGGAGAGCCGGAATCACCACTGAGTGGAATCCGGGTGTCACTGGGCATGCACAGAAGGCAAGAGAAGCAAACCAGCACCGGGGGTCTTGCCGAGCCTGAAGTGAAGGAGGCCTGCTGTGGGTCTGGTGAAAAGCAGGGGAGAGCGCCCCAGCAGCTGCTGGCCCAGGGGGGCTCCCTCGGAAGGGAACGGGTCTGACAGACAGGCCCGCGGCCAAATTTAATCCCAAATCCAAGTCCCACCGACAGTTCTGTCGGCCTCCTGGCTACCCCCACCGCGCGGGATGATGCTCTGGTTCCCGGGGCCCCGCTGGGGACTGTGACCTTGGGCAGATCGCCGTCCTGCCAGAGCCTCAGTTTCTCCGTCTGTCGCTTGGGACGACCCGGTCTTTGGCGTGCAGGGATCTGGGGCCTGGGGGACCCTGGGGGAGCTCGGTCTCGGGCATCTGGGCATGCAAAGCTCTCCTTCGGCGGCGGTGGAAGGGGTCGGGATGCCCGGGGCTGGGGGTGGGGTGGCTCACCTGGCGCCCATGGTAGTCCCCGCGGGCGGCGCTCAGCAACCGTAGGTCGGGTCCCGGCGGGAACAGCGGCAGTAGCCGGGGCGGCGGAGCACAGGACACCGCAGCACCCAGGAGCCAGGTGGCGCAAGGCCGGGTCCGGGCGCCCAACCGGCCCGAGGGGCCCAGCAGCGCCAGCAGCCCCATGGCGGTGAGCACGGGCTTGCGCAGCAGCTGCACGTGCGGCGGGCGCGTGTCGTTGACCTGGAAGCGCGCCGTGAGCGTGCGCTGCGAGAAGGGGTGCGGGTGGTAGCTGAGGAAGGCGTTGTCGTTGCTCAGCAGCGCGTAGCGGACGCGGGCGCTGGCGTTGGCCACCAGCTGGTTCTGGTGCTGCGCGACCACCTGCGGCGGCACCGGGAGGCTGGGGC